GGACTATCTACAACTTAATCCCCAAAACATTCACTTTATTCAGATTAATTTATGGTGCTCATAACAAAAACAGCAGGCAGCTGAAATCCTCTTGTAAACAGTTTTCAGGTAGTCCTACGTTTAAAACTGTGTGTCTATCATTTTTCTTTGAACTGGTAAACCCAGTATATGCTTTTGTGTTCTGAATTTTAAATTGCATTTTCAATTTAAAATACACTTAAAACAGAGAGTTTAGAAGCCAAGATAAGATCCACTTTCAGATCTTTTCTCAACCCTTTGATAAATGGCTTTGTGGTAAGACCCTGAATATTTTGGCCGCAGCCTGTTCTCAAGCTCTGCAGATCTTGCTTTTCCTCATTTAGGGAAGCTGTACTTAGAAGATCTAACAGAGGACTCTCCTCTTTCTCTTCACCTCCAAGCCAGCTGGCTCCTTGGTCCTAAAAGAAAGGAGAGAGCATTCTCGGACTAAGCAGCGGTAATACTTCCCCGTGGGGCAAAGTTTCCTCTTTCTGCCTTTGCCAGTTCATCCTAATCTTACAACAGATTGCATCTGCTCTAGCAGTCCTGGAGGTCGCTTAGGCAAACTTTGAATCTTGCCAACCTGCAGGAGACTACTGCCACATACTTGAGCAAAGACTGCATTCAAACAGTGAAGCACATTTGCAGTTCTGGAGGAACCTGAAATGTTGCCCCCACAACAACACAAGAGCTGGGCTAAGTCACTTTTCAACCTCTTCCTTCAAAATTGGGGAAATATTTCATTCTACCAGCTGAAAAAATGCCTAAAAGCTTTACGGGGAAAATTTACCTCTGTAGCCTTTTCCAAATTTCCATATTGATGAAAACTCCTACTGAACTGAATGGGTCCAAGATACAGTTTGTTTCACTGAGGACTCACCTGGCAGATTCATTCTCTTTTAATACCACCAGCTTCAAGAGGAATTACACCACGAATGAATCAAGCCCAGAGTCATGCCAGTCTTTGCTACGAATTTGATAAAAACTCATTAAAATGAGTGGAACAGGCTGTTTATAGCAAGCAACATTTACCATGTAATTCTGAGAATGAAATTCACCTTTCTTGTTGTCAAGATAAAAACGAGATTTAATAGATACATCAGAGATGTGAAGGCTGAAACGCAGATCAATGAAACATTCTTAAGCAATGCAAATTCACATTTTTTCCTGATTTTAATAAAAAGTAAATGATGTGAGATAGCATATGAGTTTCACAGTTTAAACAACAGCGCTAAGTACAGAACACAATGGCAGCATTACTAATTATTCCTCCTTTTGTTAATTTAGAGCTTAACCTTAATATTATTTGGCAATAACATTCTTACTGATGGGAGTAGTCTTTTTTTGTTTATTTCAGTGCTGTTTATTAGAATTCCTCTCCAACATGTTGGCACAAATTGTCTTAGCAAGGAAACTATATTCCTTCCTTTATGATCCAGCACTCACTGAAAGGTTTTAACTAATTCATTATGGCCATGGAGGAAGATGCAGAAATAGCAGAATTTTTTTTTTGAGCTCCGTATCAGAATAGAAACACCATTAATTTAAAAGGCACTTTCTGATAACAGCATCCATTACCCGCTATTGCCACAATCAACACCAAAGAACAATGTGAACTGAGAAACATCTTCCATTTTTCTTTTTTCCATCTTGTGCCTTTATTTACGTTTTCTGTTTTTTAAGAATCAGTTGCATTTCCTACACTGGAGTTTGTACCTTCAAGAGTGTGTTTAGTGTTTCTCTTCTCACATGAAAGTGAATTTAATACTTCACATTAGGGCAATAAGAGATCTTTTTAGTGCAGGAAACCCCCAAGAAATATAGAGCTGATACAGTGACCAGTGTTTGGAGGCACAATATTGCCATTTTACTGGGCAGAGACAGATTATAACCCATTGCAAAGCCCCAGGATAAACCAGTAAAAGGCATTCAGAGTAATTTCAAGTGTGATATATTTATCTACAAGTCTGCTTGTTTTCAGTAGAGATGTCCAAGATCACACACAAATCATTCCAATTGCAGAACCACTAACATGATTCAAGGAAGCTGCTGCTTTGGTCCTTACCTTCATTTGAGACTACGTAGCAATTCCATTTACAGATTTTCCATTTCTCTGACTGAAAACCTTTTTTATCAAAACTAATACATTGAGTCAATCCCTGGAGCAGGAAACTTGGCAGGGAGAAAAGTTTATTTCTAGAGGGTCTCTATAATCTGAGCTAGCAATTCACAGACCCACAAAAGTGCTGCTTGGAAGGGACCTCTGGAGATCACCTAGTGCAGCCTTCTGATCAGAGCAAGATGATGACCAACACTAGATCAAGTTAGCCCTGCCCAACCAACTCTTGTAAATCCCTAAGGACAGGGAATTCACACCCTCTCTGGGTGACCTGTCCCAGTGCTGCACCACCTTCCCGATGAAGAGGTTTTGCCAAATGAGCTGCTAAATATATAGCACGTGGCCATTGGCTCGTTATATCAGCTGGCCCTACTGAGAAGAGTTTGACTCCATCATCTTTATAACTGCCCTTTAAATAGCTATAAACCACTATTAGATCACCCCTTAGTCTCCTCTTCACTAGATCAAACAGGTCCAGCTCTCTCAGCCTCTCCTTACAGAACCTCCAACCAATTTGTTAACTCTCTGCCAGACCCCTTCCAGTTTCCCATCATCTCTTCTGAGCTGGAGGGTCCAAAACTTCATATAGTGTTCCACGTGTGGTCTCATCAATGCTGAGCAGGGAATGACATTTTGTCAGGATGTGCCATTTTTTCCCAAGCCAAGGTTCTCACAAACATGTCAACAAGCACAGACAGAGGTTTTTGGTCTAGAACCCTTTGATCATTTTTGGCCACTAAGAAAGAGATCCAGTCAAAACCGTAAGTTTATAAATCTTGCATCAGACACTTGGGGACAGTCCCATTTCTTGGGGGAAAAAAACTTCAAAATGTGACTTTATTTCAGTAAGACAAAAAAAATTGTCAATGTATGATAGCTGCTGATAAAACCAAGCTGTTCTCCTAAGGATAGCATGGCAACAATTTTAATAAATAAGTAAAAGATAGCAGGTATGTGCACACACAGTTTTGATGTTAAAATAAACATTAAAGCCTTGAGCCTGCACATCCTTCTACAAATTAATAGCTATATGCACAAGCTGCCACAGATATGGAAGCACTTCTATGGCTGTAGCTCCAGTGTTTTTCATAGCATACATTTCTAGACTATTAAAGCCTTGGTGTTGCAAAAATGATGCAGAATTTCCAGATAGCAGCAATATACTTTGTGAAATAATGTCAAGTGGAATCTTTAAGTCAGAGGATTTAAGGCAAGTGCAGGTATCGAGTATGGCTCAGCTGAGCAGCACACTGGTAGGGTCTTATCTCTTAAAAATAACTAAAACACAGAATCGTACCAATTTGCATTACTAAGAGAGAATTCCTCAAGGAAGAGCAATTATGTCGTTTAGTACACAAAATTCTCCTTAAGAGTTCAATATTTTCTCTTGGGCTTCTTTTTGCTAGCAGGAATTTACTCCATGACCTAATTTTCCTTCCAAAGAGATCACTAGTCACACATAAAAAAAAGTACAAATTCTCTAGATAACACATTGTTACACAAAGCAGATAAAGGTATAAAAAGAATGAACGCAAAGCAGATGAAAAAGGACAGCGCCCGCTTCCACCCACCTTTGAGAAGTGGCATAGACCAAGAGCCTAGAAAGCACAGGGCTGAATACCCTTACTCCCACCAGTAAAACAGCACCAGAAGCAATGTCAGAACCAGCTGTGTTAAGTAAAACTGTACTGTGAGGGGAAAGTAGTTATGCTTCACTTCCTTGAGATGCATCCAGTGTCTGCATCATTTTGGTGTGCCCTGCATTATAGGCTGTAAACTCTTTGCTGTGCATTGGCAAAGCAGCAAGCAAAAGACTATCTTGGTCCCTGACTAACCCTCAGGATTTAGTACTAGTAATAGCCAGTAATTTTATCAGATAAAAGAAATGGTATGATTAAAGAGATCCATCTTAGAAAACCAGGTAACATGGATAGGCTGACATTCCTATAGCTCACAGCCTTGACTTCCAAACACAGCATTTTAAGAGAAGAGTTTTTTTCCTGCTTTCAAGTACCTTCCGAAAGCCCGAGATGCTTGCTCTTCTCAAAGAGCGCTGGAAAAATAACCATTTGACAACAGAGCCTACTGTAAAAGTAAAAAAGTCTCAACCTGTGGAGATATTCAAAACCTGAATGGACGTAGTCCTGGGCAACCTGCTCTAGTTGATCCTGCTTGAGCGGGGCATATGACCAGATGATCTCCAGAGGGCCCTTCCAACCCTGACTATTCTGTAAAAAGTTAAAAAAACGAAAACAACAAAAAATGCTTTCTCCCCACCTCCCTCTTTGAAATACTGCATGCTCCATCCCTCCAGCAGTAAAATGTAAACATGCAAGACCACAGGCCAGAGATATTTGGCAGCGCAGCAATACTGTATGTACTTCAGACACTTTAGAATTGAGAGACAAAAATAAACCGTTACATGAACTATTGCCAGGCCAATATATCCATCTACAGTAAGCCACATGCACCACTGCACCAGGCCTCAGGGAAGTGTCCCTGTGCCCACTGGGCGGCAGCGGGAATCTCCACGTCCCTGAAAACGTTGCAGTGTCTTCTGCTTCCAGAGCAGAGACAAATACTGCGCCTGGCTTCTGAACGAGGCCTGGGACAGCTTCCTTGTGCTCTCTCCAGCCCTAGTTTGTCTTTCGGTCTTTGTTCTTTATTTTTCACGAAGAGGGAACTATTTGTTTCCATACTCTGAGGAGTTTCCCTTCTGTAACAAGAACTCAAACAACACGGAACTGTGAAAACGTGTTCCCTTTAACTAGCTTAGCTGGCTGTCCACTACAGACTCATTCACGACCATCCATCCGAGCAGATAACATGTGTATATTAGCTAAAACATTAGAGCTTTCCTTACCCTTCTTCCTCCACCATGGCCCTTCCTGGATAGAGTACGATAGTTCTTTAAACTCAATATTCACAGCTGGTCTGCGGGGCAGGTAGGAGAAACGATGAGCTTCTGTCAGAGTGTTGTCCACCTTTTTTAAGTGCCCATTCATCAGTCGAGCATCTTGGTTATCTGTGCCATTTGAGACCACTTCATCCACCGAAACACACACTGACTTCTGCTCAGCCATAGCAGAAGCAGAATTGCTGGCATTCTAGAGAGCAAAAGTTGAAGAAAGGACAAACATAACAAACTTTGGTTTAGGAATACATTTCAAATCTTTTTGCATCAGAAGAAGTATGTAATAATATACGAATCCTGCAAAGCAACATGCTGAAACATGAAGAGAGAAAAAATAAAACAATCTTTTGTTTGTTCTGCCTGTGTCTTGACAAAGAAGTAAAGAGCTCCTGCATACCTCCTACTCACAGCGCACAAACCCCACCTCTTTTAGCACCAGTTTTCCCTTGAAGGGTATACACAGCACACTAGTATCTTACTTCAAAATAGAACACCCCTTGCATCAGATTAATACAATATTTCTAAGTATAGTCCCCTTTACCTTGTATTCAGTTTCTCATGCATGGGCAGAATTTGATTTTAGTTGCTCTGATTTCACGGCTTGTACCTGGACTAAGTCAAAAGGGGAGGGGAGCTAGCACAACTATTACTTGCAGAAACATTTTAAAGCTCTTATTCCTTTAAATAGAATACATTTGTATAAATGTGAAATTGCATACGTTCACACTTGTGCAAATTCGGAGAAGAGCACTTTTCTGGCTGATTTGCTCCAACAGTAACAGTTCCAGGGACTGTGCAACCTAGAACAGTACACCTTCTTTTCTTGAGGTCTGTTAGGAAAGCATAGCCCTTTATATCCAAAATCTTTGCACATCTCCAAACTGGAGCACACCTTCCTTGCTCGAGAGTGATCCCTAATGGAAATCTTATCAGCTATATAGACATGTTAAACCATGCTCCAGAGCCTGCACCCCTGACACTGAGGTCAATGCTTTATGCTCGCAGCTGCACCTCTATCACACTTTGCCCATCACAGAAGTCCATGCAAATCTGCTTGGCATTTTTTTGACTGAATCACTTCTCCCTCCCCTCCAGAGCGTGACAATGACCTGCTGCCTGCCCTCTTTCTCCTTTAGTCACATAAAATCAGAACTTTTTCCATTCCTTTCATCTGAATGGACACCTCACACTGGTATCAATGGGATGTGGACCAGGCCTAAAGGAAAACAATCACAAAGGCTCTTCAGCTAAGCAGAATTTTGAACAGTTCAGAGGATATTGTCATCTGTTGTTCTGAGTATGTCATAAGCAGGGTCCAGCAACTGCACAGTTGCCTACTACAACGTCTAATATTTTTAATGTGGAGCTGGATTGGAAAAAACTTCTATAGCTGGCTTATGTGCTAGACTTTCCATGCTGTCACATCTGTCCAGCAATCTACCTGTTTCCAGAGGTATATGCTGAAAAGCAGATGTGCTGCACTGGTTTTCAAGGCATCAGTGCTAACATCCTCAAATAAAGAGCTGTAAGGTCATGCCATTATCCCCCCCACACTCGTCCTCCAATGCAGTTAAGAAGTCACATTCCCTTCTTTTCACTGTGCCATTTTCATCTTCTCTGTCACAGTGGTGGCTTTCCACTCATGTTGAATAAGTAGTACTGTTCAGATCAATCACTTGTCATGAATGCTGACGGAAAACCCTAAAAACCAGTCCTACATACCCAGTAGTTAGCTAGTGTCTTCAGATTCTGCATGCATGAGCTCCCTAGTTCTGGATACAAGAATCAGCTCCACTTAACACATTTTCTTAAGAGAGAGATTTTAATAAAGCTCTCAGGTAACTCAGGTCAGGTATCCACCAAGTCTTACTCCCAGTTTCTTAAATAGTTGACAGTAATGTATGTAATTTGAACAGTGTAATATGAAACATCTTAGAACTGAACAATTAAGCCAGGAGAACCTCCCTCTTGCCTAGAAAATAAAAGGAGAAGGTGAACTAACAACATGCGCTTCTGCACGTTTTCAAGGCTTACTTTCTTAAGTGACTCTACGTGTTATGTGCCTAGGCAAAGGCAATCTTAAGTGCTTGTTTGGTTCACAGAAACCTCTGAGTAACTTCACATGTCAGAGGAGGCATCCAAAAAACTAACTCTCAATGAATAGGTCACCTTGAGTATCCAGTCAACAGCTAGAGCTTTTCCAGTTTAAGTCAGCTTGAGTATTTAGGCAACAGTTAGAGCTTTTCCAGTTTAAGTCAACTCAAAAAGAAGCATCCTTTGGACAAGATCTTTGCTCTCTTCTTGCAATCTGGCTTAATCACGTAGGGCCGTGATACCAGAGGATTTTCTTCCTGGGACAGTAAATAAAGAATTTCAGTCATCCAGTGGGTTGAAATGCCTGCTTTCAGCAGAGTATGACACAGTCATGCCAACCTTAGTCATATGCTCTCTTCCCCCAGGGACAACCTGCTGTGGGTCATGATCACCCCTAGGAGCCCAGGATCATGCAACTGGTTCTGAGCTGCAGGAACGGCTTTGCTTTCTCAGAGATGGGCAATAGCAACGGTTACCAGAGCCACAGCCTTAACTGCACCCTCCACAACTACTTTCTGAACGCACTTCCAGTCCTTGCATACATCTACTACTATAAACCAATCATTTGCTTTTCCACTGATATGCGTGCATTTTAAAGGGATGCTCATTTCAAATTAGCCTGTACAACAGAAATAAATCAGCATATGCGCTGAAAGACTCTGCTTTTATCTTAGCCGATTTCATACAGTTATATTTCTCAATTTCCTATACGGAGTTTAATTGTTTCATGGTGTCTATCAGGCACAGCAATACACACATTCCCAGTCAAAGTAGCGCAAGGATCCCACATGCTCTGCATGCTCCTTTACCAAACAACTTCTCCGCAGAATTTCCTCCTCAGCATATGCGCTGAAAGACTCTGCTTTTATCTTAGCCGATTTCATACAGTTATATTTCTCAATTTCCTATACGGAGTTTAATTGTTTCATGGTGTCTATCAGGCACAGCAATACACACATTCCCAGTCAAAGTAGCGCAAGGATCCCACATGCTCTGCATGCTCCTTTACCAAACAACTTCTCCGCAGAATTTCCTCCTCCTCCAACCTACCAGCCTTCCACCAAAGCCATTATATAAAAGCGCTGGAAAGGTTATAGCCCCTCAGTAAATCGGGG